TTCACTTATACACCCTATTCTACTTTCTTTACATTCAATTTTGCCTTATACTTCAAAATATTTTTTTATTTTCTCATATTATTTGACCTTTCTAATGACTACAGAATCCTTGTGTATCCTACTTTAAATTTGACATTTTTCTGACATATATTTTTAATTAATCTACAAATTGTCTTTCAATTTTAATATCATTTATTACCTCTTATTCTAACTTATTTTTTAACTATTTACTAACATGATAATCAACTCAATCATAAATTTTATAATAATCATTCCAACCATTGACTTTGCCACTTTGTCTTTTACATAACGATTTAATTTAAATTTTACTTTTCTCCCGTTAATCTGGTTTCATCTCAATATTTTAAATAACGCTTTAATGTTTTTTTAGTTATAAAAAATTGAAATTTTGTTTCTTTTCATTGTTTGTTCTTGAAAAATTAAGATTTTGTTTTAAATTAAAGATCACATTTTCCTTTTGTTAATTTGTGTTTCAGCTTTACTAATTTTAGGTAATTTTTTAAAATTATATGTGGTTTTATTAGCTCCTGTTTTGACTCTATTATATTGCGGGAAAAACTACTCTATTTGTTAATAAAATATGTTATTTTCATACTTATTGAGGTTTATTCCAGCAAAATATATAATGAAAAATGTTTTAGCAGGTATTTTTTCAAATGCTTTTATTTTGAGTTTGAGTTTTCAATTTTTTGTTCAAATTTTTTCCATTTTTTTCCGAATTGTTCTCTCGCATTTAACCTTATCTTTTTATTCCTGACAACCTAATTTGTACATATTTTTTTAAAATTTAAGTGGGTGTTGGACTTTGAGCAGCATCTAAAAGCTTTTCGAAATTTTCTAAGGCCTACTATGGTTTCAGATCAAGCATCAACTTTCTGCAAAATCTTTAACAAAATCCCAGTGGGATACAAATTGTACCCTATCTTTTCTTTCAATTAATATACAGGGTGTCCCCCGTAATGAATTGTACACAGAGTAACAGGTGATTTATGACGTCAACATAATGTGATCTGGCCAAACTTACCTTAGTCCAAAAATTGATAGTAACCGAGTTACAGGGTGTCAAAATAAAAATTTTGTTTTCAATTTTTTTTAAATAACCTTCAAAATAATTGATGTATTTCTCATAACAACCTTGGCATACATTCTACAGAGCGCCACTTACGCCGCCCCTCAGAACTTGTATCTATACTAACATTATAAAGAGGAAAGATTTGTATTTTTGTATGTATGTATGTTTGTTATGAATAAACTCAAAAACTACTGGACGGATTTCGATAATTCTTTGACCATTAGAATGCTACATTATCCCTGAGTAACATAGGTTATATTTTTATATCCCAAAATGTTTAAAGTAAATGTCCACCCGTGCAAAGCCGGGACAGGCCGCTAGTTGCTTATATTTCGATGGTTTTAATTTGTATGAAATATGAAATATAATAGTACAGTTAAATATATAAAATAAACGAATATAATGTAATGTAATAAAATTTTAGAAGAAAAAATAAAAAATAAGTACACGTCTACTGATCCTTTTGGGTAGAATAAAGCGTACCAGAGTTCATTTTTGCTGCAGATTGTACTCAAAAATTAAATAGATCATAAGTATTTATTAATACTTGCTGGCCCATAAATTAAAATTCGATTCCGGGATAGATGTGTGGATTCTGCAGAATTATACTTTATTGCATCCATTTGAATAAATTATATTCACATGAGTGGGCATGTAAATTGCTAAATTTTATTTATTACCATTTTATTTAAGTATCTACATATATTGGTTTTCCGTCGACAGTGTCACTAAGTTCAAGTAAATTTTATGATTTATTACTGATTTCAATTTAATAGAACCATTAAATTGTAATACCGGAATTGATAGAATTGAAAACACGTTTCCAGATATCCTATTTACAAATTGATTTACACGCATTGTTTTTTTAATTTAATACATATTTGAATAATTTTATGGTATCGATATTGAAAAATACCATGATTATTTTCCAAATAATTTGGACTCTCAACAAACAGCTAATCGTATATTGGTTTTAATAATATACTTATATTAAGACTTATGTTCAAATTAAACACAATTTGAAAATTAAATTTGAGTAATACCTATTGACTTTTTCAGAGGATTTTAGTCTTCTATACTATTCTACAACACATCGCCATACACCATAACATGATCTTCCTGAAACAGACAAATGATTTTTGTTTCTAAACAAATTTACTCTACTCGTTCCTAATCATTTCTGCTCGTGTTTTATGTGATATAGATAATACACAGAGTGGAAATTTGGTGCGAAATTCTATTCAGAAAATATAATTTTTAAAACATCGTGTATGGCATTATTTGATAGTAAAA